CTCCGGCGGAGCGGCGGGAGGGCGGCCCCGCCTGCGGGGCAGAGCAGGAAGGGCGCGTCGTCCCGCGGAGGTGCCCGGTAGCGGGGGGGCTGGGGGGAGCGTGGGGTGTCCTCTCCGGGGTAGGGGGCCGCCAGACCCGGGCAGCTACCGGTGCTCGCTGCGTCCTCGTAAGGCCCGGCGCTCGGTGCTCGTCCGGCCGGCAGCGGCTCTGTCGGGCTCCCGCCTCTGGCCCCGCAGCCCTTCTCCATCCCCCGCCGTGCCCTGACCCCGCGCTGCTCTCCGGGCAGGGGCCCCAGCTCCAGCGCCTGCTCCGCCGCCCGCCCAGCATCTCTTCAGCGACCCGGCTGAGATCGAGGACTTGCGCGGGAACCTGCTCGCTTGGTACGACAAATGCAAGCGGGACCTTCCCTGGAGGACACTGGTAAGGGGAGGTACCGGGAGGTACTGGGAGGCAGGGCTGCCGTAGCGGGAACCAGTCCCTCTGCCTTAAGGGGGTGTTGCTGAGGTGACCGCGGTGTCTTTCCCTACGCGACGGATCCCTAGCTGCATGGAAGTGGAAGACGGTGTTGGAAAGGGGAGCGTGCTCCCAGCTAGTCCTGGCCGTTCCGTGGTGGGCGGTCTGTAGTCCGCCCGTAGGTACGAAGAGTAAAACAGGGCATGAGGGTGAAACCACACTTCTCGAACGTAGCCTCCAACCAGGAGTACTTTTCTCTGGTAAATTTAGTCTAGTTGTCTTTTAAACCTGTTTTGTTCCTGCCTCTGTGGTACCCTGTAGCAGAGAGCGCTGCGTGGAAAAGCTTTTCCGTGTATTTGCTTTAAGCCTGCCGAGCGTTTTTATTGGAGCTCCTACCTGCTCTGTGCTCAGCCTGGCAATGAGCGGCGAGGCGGTGATTGGGGTGCTGGGGGTGGGCATCAGTCTGTCTGAACCGTGCTGGGAACTGCATGGCCCTTCTGTGGGATTTACGTCTGCCTGCGACTGCTTCCCGTGCAGAGGGGCTTGGGTCTGGGACAGCTCCTCTGGTGGGATCTTTGAACTTCTAAGGTGAATCCTCGCTGTGGGAGATGTGTGACATCCCTTGTGCTTCGTCAGGGGGAAGGTGCTTTGGCTGTCACTTGATTAACTCAAACTCAGAGCTTCTGAACGTTTAGGGGAAATATTTTTTTTGCAGATTCCTACACAGTGTTCAAAACACACCACAAGCGGTATTATTTTATATGCAGGTCCCCTCAGTGGTGGGGTCCTGTGTCACCTTCCTTCTTATAGTCCGTCTTCTTCCCTTTTCAGGCAGCAGCTGAGATGGATGCCGACAGACGGGCGTACGCAGGTGAGGAGCAGGGACTGCACCCTGGTGTGTGTGGGGTGCCCCGCTGCATGTTGCCCCCTGACACGGATGTGCAATATGGCCTCGTGAGGAAACGTGGCTTCAGTTGCCATCCTTGGAACAAGCTGCCTGGAGTAGCCGTGAGAGCCACTGACCCCCCCCTTGCAAGGCACTGGGGTGGTCAGAGAGCTCACTTTGGGCCTGAGGGAGCTCCTGTGGGGCAGCATGTGGGGCAGGTGAGGGGTAGGAAGGGGTCCCATGGGTTGGATGCTGGTGCAGTGCTTGTACCCAGTGTTAACGTGGCCACGGCATGGGGTGTGGGTGGTGTCGGTGCCTCTGCTCTGATCCCTACCCTGCTTCCTGCAGTGTGGGTGTCTGAGATCATGCTCCAGCAGACGCAGGTGGCTACAGTGATCGACTACTACAACCGCTGGATGCAGGTGACTGTTCCTTACAGAGTCCTGTGCCCACAGGCTGCTCCTTTTGGAGACCTTGTCCGCTGCTCTGTGGCAGATCCCCAGCTGCAGAGCACAGCTCTGCTTGTCCCTGACTTGTCCCCTTCCCTCTGTACCACAGAAGTGGCCGACGCTGCAGGCTCTGGCGCAGGCATCCCTGGAGGTGAGCGTTGCTGGGACCGGGTGCTCTCCCTGCCCTCGTGGCTCTTCATCTAACACCGTGCCGTGTCTCTTGGAGCAGGAGGTGAACGAGCTGTGGGCTGGACTTGGCTACTACTCGAGAGGGAAGCGTCTTCAGGAGGCAGCAAGGAAGGTGCCCTCATGCTGGGGCATGGGAGGCATTTCCAAAACCTTCTGCGGCCCGTGGGTTGGTGCTGGCTCACCTCTGCCCTGCATCGCTGGGGCTGTGTGCTGCTGGCACAAGGCTACAGAGGCTGGGATCCCATCTTACCATGGGTAAGATGAGTTGCATGCACACGCCCCGGCTGCTCCCCTGACCTCGGTCCCCTCTTTGCCAGGTGGTGTCCGAGCTGGCCGGCCAGATGCCCAGGACGGCTGAAGACCTACAGAAGCTGCTGCCAGGGGTGGGCCGATACACGGCAGGAGCCATTGCGTCCATCTCGTACGGGCAGGTGAGAGCTGGGCATCAGTGAACATGTCTCCCCTCTCTGCCACCCAGCCCCACTCCTGGCAGGGTCCTGCTGGCAGGTCTCACAAGCCAGGAGCTCCCCAGGGCTGTTCTTGGCTCTGGCTCTCCCCTGCTTTGCGGTGCATCTTACCCCCCATCCAGCTTGGTCTGTGGGTCAACCTCGTGTGTATCCCCCCTCCGTCCTGGGAGGAGCCCAGCTCCCTGCCTTGCCGGCAGCACGGGCACCTCCTGGCGCAGTAACCTCAGCTCCTGGTCCCAGGCTACCGGCGTTGTGGATGGGAACGTCATCCGGGTCCTGTGCCGCCTGCGGTGCATCGGTGCCGACTCCAGCAGCCCGGCCGTCGTCAACCGGCTCTGGTAAGGGGAATGCTCCGTCCCCACTCCTGAGCTGCAGCGATCGTGGCTGTGCTTGTTGGTGGCTGAGGGCAGGACCATTTGGGAGCTATGGGGAGCTGAGCCTGCAAAGGGAGAGAGGCGTGGGGTGCAGGAGCTCGTGGGAAGCTGGTGCTGCTGGGAGCGGTGGAGAAAGGAGCTTATCTAGGAGCATCCCCCCTCAGAGGCAGGAGGCAGGCAAAGGTCCTGGGGCCCTCTCCTTGCAGAACCCTGTGCCGCTCACTGCTGTTTCTCCCAGGGACATGGCCAATGCCCTGGTAGACAGGAGCCGCCCAGGGGATTTTAACCAAGCCCTGATGGAGCTGGGGGCAACTGTGTGTGTGCCCAAGGCCCCGCTGTGCGGGGAGTGCCCCGTGAAGCAGCACTGCCGAGCACGGAGCAGGGTAAGTACGATGCCAAAGTCTGGCCCTGAGAGGTTGCCATGTGTGGGGACAAGGTGGGTTGGTGGATGAGCCTGTCCTCATTCCTGTCCCCCCTTGCAGGTGGAGAAGGAGCTGGCCTTCGCCTCTCAGAAGCTGTTTGGAAAACCCACCCCAGTGCCTGATGTTGAGGACTGTGGTAAGTGTGTGGGGAGATCCCTGTTGTAGCTCTGGGTCTGGACCCTATGGCAACTGTTATGTGGGTGTTTGCAGGTGTTGGGGGCTGTCCCCTGTGCCCCCCAGCCGTGGAGCCATGGGACAGCAGCCTGGGGGTGACCAACTTCCCCCGGAAAGCAGCGAAGAAGCAGCTGCGGGCAGTGCGAACGGCCACATGTGTGCTGGAGCGGAGGGGCTGCCGTGGGGCCCCAGAGTACCTCATCGTGCAGAGACCCAGCTCGGGTAATGGGGCTGGGTGGGAGGGGGGTGAAGGCACCACGCGGCCCTTTCCCACCTGCACAAGGGACAGAGCAGCCTGGGAGAGGGATGCACCGGTGATGCACTTGCTGTTGCGGTGAGGAAAGGAGGCCTTCGGGGCTGTGATGCGGCTCACTGTCCCCGTATGTGCCCCTTGCCAGCTCACATCCCTGTCATGCCCCCTCCCCAGGTCTCCTGGCTGGGCTCTGGGAGTTCCCAAGTCTCACGCTGGCTCAGGATCTGCAGGAGGAGAAGCAGAGGGAGGCACTGGCAGATCACCTCCATGCCTGGACAGGGCAGCCAGTGGCAGCCAGAAGCCTGCGGCTCATCGGAGAGGTGAGCCTGGAGCCAGACGGATGCAGTGTGAGCCCCCCGTGCTCAGCCATGGGGGACATAGCATGGGGGGAAAAGGGTCCTCCTTCCCTGCTGTCACTCCTCCCAAGCCTTTCCCCACTCCTCAGAGCCCTGGCAGACTCAGTGCACTTGTAGGGCAACGGAGCAGTGCATCCCCTGCTGCCTGCCAGCTGCCCTTTTCATATGCCTACCCATCTCTTCACAGGTCATCCACATCTTCTCTCACATCCACCAGACATATGTAGTCTATTCCCTGCCCCTGGACAGGGATGTGACGCTGGACCCTGCCTTGTCCCCATCCCGCTGGGTGACGGAGGAGGAGTTCCATGCCTCAGCTGTGTCCACAGCCATGAAGAAGGTACTGAGGGGCACCTGGGCCTTTCCTCTCTTCCCTGTGTCTTCCTGGGAGAGCCTCTGGCATCCCCCCAACCTCTGCAGGCTGTCCTGGCTCCAGGACCTGGCTGCTGTTCAGCTTTGGGCTCTCTTGTCCTTCCTTCAGGTGCTGAAAGCACATGAGAAGCAGCGCGGGAAGGAGAGCAGCCCTGGCAAGGTGAGCATCGCTGGAGGGTGTATGGGGAGCCCAGGAGCTGCTCCCTTTTGCTGTGGGCCAGCCTCTGGTGTGTGGTGCTGGAGCCCCCCTGGAGTTTGGGGTCAGGCCAAGGAACATCCCCAGCCTGGGGCAGGGCTGCGTCTGGGGGATGTGCCTGGCTGGCATTGTCCCTGGATGTCCCCAGTACCAGGGGCCCCTTGCTCCAGAGGGGATTCCTGGAGGCTGTGGGGGCCCTTGGGCTTCAGCTTAGCCCTGCTGCGTGTCTCCTGCAGGGCTCCAAGCGGAAACGGGGGGCAAAAACACAGGGAGCAGGCAGCACCTGCCCTGGCACACAGCTCTCCCTCCGCGCCTTCCTCCAGGCACAGACTGCCCCATGATGGCACCTTCCATGCATGAGACCACCAGAGACTCATGCTGTGGTGAGTCCCGCCCATGGTGTGGGGATGGTGTCCCCCATACTGCTGAGTCCAGTACATGGCCCTATAATGGTCTCCCACTCCTTGCAGCATCCACTGGCTTCCCCAGCTCCCCCGTGGGAGTTGCACCTTGACATGGCCTGGAGCCAGGCTTGCCCTCCCTCCTTGGCTGGAGCCCTCCTGGGGTTATTCAGCCCCGTACAGCCACTGCTCCAGCATCGTGGACTCATGGCAGCAGGGGTTTCTCTCCAGCAGCAGGAAGGCTGCGGCCACATCACTCCCACAGCCCTGTACCTGGCTGCCCACCTGTACCTCGTCCACCAGCCGGCAATTGTGGATGCTGGTGTACTCTTCCCAGCCTCCCATAGCCCTTTTTATACACTTGTTTTTACTGAACCTGAGCCACGGGCTTTCTAATAATAAATCTAAAGCATGTGCAGTTTTTAAAGTGGCTTTCTGCCTCTGTTGGACTGTGCTAAGCTTGGGGTGTTGGGCAGCCTGTGGTCCAGTGTGAGGATGGCTGGCAGGATCCCTACATCTGGGCTGGAAACAGCAGGGGTTTCTTTGTTGATGCACTCATGAACCCCTCAGCTGAGCATTAACTGCCGGTGACCCCAAATAATGCACCCAGAGCGCATCTCCTGCAAGGGCAGGCATCAGCCCCCGGGGCTGCGCAGCTCCTGCCTGTGGGCTGCTCCTCTGTGGGGCTGAGCAGGCGTTCCCTGGGCTCTTTGTAGGGTTTTATCCCCCTTTTTTACCTTTTCCATCAGGCTGTTCCTCACTGTGTTCATGCTGCGGCTTTCCCTAACTGTGATGTGCAGCAGAAGCCTTGCAAAGGCACAAGCCCAGGGGCTGGCAGGGGCGAGGGCCGGTCCTGGGGTGTGTGCAAGGGGCATGTGGCTTCAGTTTAGGGACTGCAGGACTGGAGATCAGCCTGCCTTGAGGGGCAGAAAGGGCCCTTTCATCCTTGCCTGGCACTCAGCACATCTTAAATGGGAGGAGAAAAAAAACAAAGCAGCGCTTGCAAGTTAATTTTTTAATTGCAAGGAGCAAGAGGCCATCACTTGCCCCACACCGGGGCTAGCCATGCTCTGGGTGGTAACTGTTGACAAGTGGCCGTGTCCATGGCCCCCGGGTTATCCACTCCCCGCTGACAGCCCCTCATCCCCCTACGTCTGGGGGTGTTACTGTGCCTGCGGTGTCCTTGGCCATGCTGCAGGCACAAATCTCATTAAATTAAGATACAACTAAGGTAGAAAGTTCTGCACATGAGGTCAGTAAATCACTGGGAATCCAGGGAGGGGGAGAAAACACCTTCCACCCTGGGGGATGCTCAGAGCCCGCTGGACTTGGCCTTGAGCAACTTGCTCCCACACTGAGTTGGCTCTGGGTTGACCTGGAGACATCCCTTGGTCCCTGCCCACCTGGGTCATGCTGCAGGCACCCGCTGGTATCTCTACAGCCACCTATTGCCTTAGCATTGGACCGGAGAGGATGGGGAGCTGAGGGAGGAGGATTGCAGCATTGCCACTACTGCTGCTGGTCCATATAGACCTGCACAGCCTTCCACAGTGCCTGTATATTGCCTTCCCCGAAGCCTGGCGCTCCCCGCCGGTCAATGAGCTCCAAGAAGAAGGTCTCCTCGGAGAAGATGGGATGGGTGAAGATCTGCATCAAATACTCCTGGGAAGGGCCCTCTGCGGCATCAGTGCCCGGCCGGCCCTTGTCCCCAGGTGCTGTGGTGTCCAGCAGGATGCCGAGCTCTGCCAGCCTGTGGGGGTCCTGCCCGGCCACCCGGATCTCCTCCGCTTTGCCCCCCTGGCTGTAATAGGTGGCAGGGGGTGTGAAGAACCGTGCACCCCGCTGCTGCAAAGCCCTGGTCGTGGTGACAATATCGGTGGTGCGGAGGCCGACGTGCTGGATCCCAGCCCCGCCGTGCTGCTCTAGGAAGGTGTCGACTTGGTTGGTGCCGTCCTTCGAGAGGGACTCGGCGAGGATGAGCTTGCAGCCGTGTGGCGGGGCGCCCTGGGCGCTCTGCAGAGCAAGGAGCAGCATGCCCACCCCCTGCCCCCCGAGCACATACCCCTCGGCTGGCCTCTCCTGCGGGTTCAGCAAGAAACGGCGGAAGCCGAAGCAGTGCTGGTACCAGTCCAGAGCCGCCCGGGTACCGCCCCGTGGGCAGACGTATGTGATGTGGTCGAAATGGGTGATCTTGATCCCGTCCCCCGTGGCCGAGGGGGCTCTTTGAATGGGCTGGAAGCCAGGCAGGAAGGGTCCCCGGTAGCGGGATCGGTCCAGAAGTGTATGGCTGATGTTGCCCACGATGGAGCTTGCCACCCCGTAGGTGACGGAGCCGCCGTCATCCCTCACCTCGGTGGGGGGCACCGGCAGGGAGCACCCCCGGCTCTGCAGCCGCTTGCAGAGCCCTGGCACGTCGTCCACCTCAAAGCAGACATTGGAGGCTGTGCCCAAGGTGGGCTGGGGGTCCACATCGTAGAGGAAATCACGGGAGGAGGCGTCGGCAGGTCCCGGCACCAGGCGCTCGTTGACGAGGAAGATGGCGGATCCCCGTCGCAAGGCCAGCTGCCGGACCCGGGGCGTCTCCCGCATGGCCACCGGCTGGAAGCAAAAGGTGCTGGCCAGGTCCTGGGCCCAGCCCTTCCTGTAGGGCATGTGGAGGGAGATGAAGCAGGGGCGGCTCAGCAAGGCTGCCATGGCTGGGCAGGCTGCGGGGAGGACGCACGGGGTCAGGGGGGGCTTGCTGGGCGCAGGAAGGAGCCATTCCCCCACCTTGCACAGAGCCCGAGTGCATTTGCACGCACAGATGCACGTGCGTGTAAAGCCGCACCCCTTAAATTTGTGTCTTTTAAATAAATGGGTCTCACAGGCCAATATGCGTTGTGCAAGGGCACCCACCTTTGGGACCAGCTGCAAAGAGCTGCCCAAGGAGGCTGAGCTGTCCCGCCACCCCTTCGCTACGCTGCCCTGCCCCACGCCTGTGCCTGGGATTGCAGAGGAGGAAAGCCCTTAGCCTTGGCTGCAGCCCAGCGGGTCCCCTCTGGACCCGTGTGTCCCTCAAGGGTGCCGCAGAGAGGTTAGTGGGGAATCCGGGTGAGGGAAGCGTGCTGCGTGTGTAAGCAAGACTTTGGGGACAAGGGTTGCGGGGGAGGGAAATGTCCTGTACCAGCAACCGGGAACACGGAGGTTGGACTGGTAAACATGGAGCGACACACTGGTTACAGCTAAAAGGCTCCTGTGCTGCCCCAGCGCTTGTCAGCGGTGTCCCACAAGCGGCCGGGGGGAGCAGCGGGGTGACGGCAGGCTGGTGTGCCCTTCCCCTCCCCAGCAAGGACAGCGTGGAGCTACCTGGGGCAGTGACCTTGCCCTAGGGGCACAGAGGGCGAAACAGGAGGGACGCTGCGGGAAAAGTGACCTCCCTCCCCACCCAAATACCCGTCACACTGAAGGGAGAAAAAAGCTCTGTCCAAAACCGCGCTCCGCATCGCCTCTCGAGAGCATCCCACTGAGGTTTCCCGACCCCACGCCACGCACCAGCTGCCCTGGCCGGACCCCACAGCGGTGCGCTTAATATTTCCATTTTAATATGAAGCAGGGCGCCTGCTTAAATATTTCCTTCCACCTGCCCCCGGAGAAGGGCTGTGCACCGAGCTCCCCCTGCGCCGGCAGGCACAGGGCTCTGCCAGCCTTGGGGGGGGGGCGGACGGGGGGGCAGGCTGCGCTGCAACCGGGCACCCCTGCCTGCCAACGGGGGAGCAGGGGACCCCGCAGTGCCCCGTTAGGACCCTCAGCTGCTCCACACCAGCCCGGGGAAGGGAGATCCTTTCCGGAGCCCCTGCCCCAGCGAGCACATGGGCAGGGGACAGCCCTCCCTGCCTCCCCCCGCGGCGCTCCACCATCGGTCCGCCATCACCGTCGGTCCGGCCCTGCTCCCACCCCCTCCCCGTCACCCCCCCGTCCCGCCACCCACCCCCTGCACCCACGGGGGGGGGCCTGCAGGGCCCTCGGCTCGCCCTCGGCCTGCGGCTCACCGGGGTCAAGGCTGCAGGCGAAGGGGATGCCGGGGCAGGGGCCGGCCCCGGAGAGGCGGTTCAGTTCGCTCCTCCCCGGCACGCAACACGACATGGCGGGACAGGGAAAAGGGGTTGGCGATGCCAGGGAGGCTGCAAGGCAACCTGCCCGGCCACCGGGAAGCTCTCCCTGGCGGGAGGAATTGGTGGGAGCCATCCTGGGCAAGGACAGGGCCGGCACACGCGGCGTGGGGCAGTGCCGGTGCGGCGTGGGAGCTGCCGGGGCAGCTTTAAAGCCGGGGACGCGTGGCTGCCAAACGCTGCGGGCGCCGAAAGTTTCTCTCGACCCCGGGGGTGCCGGGCTGTGTTTGCGGAACGAAAAGCTGCCCACGCTGGTCGCCGCGGGCACCGCTCGGGGATGAGCAGAGGGAGAAGAGGAACCGGCTGCCGGGCGGTGGCTGGGGGTCCCCTGCCACCCGTGATGAAATGGCTGGTGTCTGTGCTGGGTCATTCCCTGCCAGCCCAAATCCCTTTGGGGCAGGGCATGCAGCGGGGTGTACGTGCCCGTGCTGGGTGCTTCACAGTTCCCCGGGGTACCTGGCGGGGTTTTGGGGGGAGCAGCCTGCAGATGGCGGGGGGGACACAGCTCTGTGGGGGGTCTGGCGTTGGTCACGGCGTGGGTCTGCTCCAGGCTGACCCTGTGCAGCTGCGCCTGCTCCCCGATCCCAACCCACGGCCCCACATCCTCACTGACATCCCTGAGCCCCTCCAGCAGCGATCCCCTCCCTCCCTGCTGCTCGTGGGTGTTTTTGGACGAGTCCCCCCCTTCTTTGTGTGTCCGGGACTGTGTCGCTGCCCCCATTGTGTCTGTGTCTGCTGCCCTTCCCTGCCTTATCATGTTTTTGTACAGAGCCCAGGTACGATAAACTGCTCAAATATTTGCGGAGATGTCCGTGTGTGGCCAAAGCGGTGAGCTCCTCTTGTTTGGTTGGGGTGGTGTGTTGGAATCCACCGGCGCTGTGATTTCCCAAGGGAACACGGGCTCCTCATGCCACCACAGCACCCCCAGCACGGGGCCGGGCAGGAGGCGCAGGGCTGGACACTGGGGGCTTGCTCTGGGGCCAAGCGTGGCCCAAGAGCAGCCGTGGCACCATGTGGCAGGACAGCACGGCCTTTGGGGTGGCACCTCGCAGGGCAGGGAGCTCTGGCACCCCAGGGGTGTGGAGCAGGTACCCATCTACCCATCTTTTTGGTTGCAGGGTGGCAGAGGCTGCCCTGGTGGCTCCCCCAGTACCTTGTGCATGGATGGCACTTTTTGATGTCACCCCACGGTCCTGCAACCCTTTGGTGCAAGCGGTTTCCTTGGCAATGCCCCTGACCCTCCTGTGCCCGTGGGGTATCTTCGAGCGTCTGTGCCCGCCTTTCCCCCGCAGCACCGCCTGGCACCCTCTGTACCAACCCAGCACCAGGCACTGCTTTGCCCCAGCATGGCTCTGGCTGGGCTGCGGCAGCAGGACCCCGAAGCCGCGTGGCACCGAGGGGGACAGTGCCTGCCTTGTTGCCGTCCCCTGAGGCAGGCGGTGGTGGCCGGGGAGCAGTCCCGCTGCTCCAGCCAGGCTCTTCTCCTCCCTCCTGGGCGGGGAGAGTGGACAGGAGATAAAAGGGAGACCAGGGCCAGCTGGGCATTGCCGAGAGCTGCTGGGGCTGGGAGTGAGGTCTGGCCAGAGGACAGCAGTGAGGAGAAGTGCGGTATTGAGGGCTCGTTCTCGCGGGGGAGAGGGCTGGGGGTTGGGGGTACATCCATCCTGACCAGACCCTGCACCCCCCTGCTCCCTCCCCACCTCCCTGGATCATCCCCCCCAGCCCCATGTCCTCCCCTGACCATTAAATATGCTACATCCCAGAGGGACAGGGTGTATCATGGGGTGGGCAGGGTTTGGGGGCTGGGGCAGGAAGGGACTTCAGGCAGATATTGGGGGCAGGGGGGTTAAAGGCTCTGTGTGCCCCTCAAGCACTTCATGGGGCATTGAGGACTCTCAAGGTGACCTGAAGGTGAAACCATCCCTGTCCCAGTGACTCCCCACTGGTGGCCGAGACGATGGGGGCTGCATCCCTGCCCATCTCTGGGGCAAAGACAGACCCCCAGGTGGGGCTGGGTTGGTTTTTGAGTCAGGGAGGTGGAGAAGGCCCATGGGGGGGCAGGACCTTCATCCCCCCGATGTGCAGAGCGGATGCCTCAGCACCGGGGGAGACCGGCGCACCGGGTTGTGGCAGTGGGTGCCCACAAAAGCTGGCGGCGAAGGTGCTGTGCTTGTCAGGAGCTGGGCACCCCAATCCCCTCACCTCATCCCCTTTTCTTCACCCACCCCCCCCCGGCACGAGGGTCCCGGCTCCCAGTGCCGTGCTGGGACCAGTCCAACACTGCTCACCAGTCTTTGTTTGTCTGCCCCAGCGGGGGGTGCAGAGAGGCGGTTTGGGGGCTGGGAGGACCCCGTTGGGTCAAGCCCCAGGGCAGAAGGGAGGCAGAGGCCAGTGGTGGGGGATCAACGCCCTGTTTCCCCCCACCAGGGCCAGGGGTCCGGGATGGGGCTGCTGGTGCTGGCCCTGGCTGCCTGGCTGGGGCTGGGGCCGGCCTTGGCCTCTGAGGGGGTGGCCAACAGTAGCCGGCTCTGCCAGGAAGCGCCGGCATGGAGCGTCAACGGCTTGAGCCCCATGGCAGGGGCAGAAGGGCAGGTGACGGTGGTGGCCCTGCTGAAGGCCAGCTGACACTTCTGCCTGCAGCAGGCCCACAGGTGAGCCCTGCTCTCCCTACCCCAAACCTGGCCCTGCCATCTTGGGGAACGGCATGGCGGTCCCCCAACCCGGCACCCCCCCCCCCAGCACCTCCTTCTCTGCAGCCTCGGGGGCCTGCAGGAGAGACTGGCCCGGCAGGGCACGGTCGACGTCCGCTACATGATTGTCAACGAAAAGGCGCCGCTCTCCCGCGCCATGTTCAGGGAGCTGGAGCGCCAGGCCCCGCCGGGCGTCCCCGTCTTCCAGCCGGAGCCGGAGGAGCCCGACATCTGGCAGGTCCTGGGGGGTGACAAGGACGACTTCCTCATCTACGACCGGTGAGTGTCCCCCATCACAGCTGAGGCTTTCCTGGGGGGTTATGGAGCATTTGGTGGGCTTCCAAAAGCTCCCCCATGGCTGGTCTGGGGTGCCCCTGCCTCGAGCCGGGCCATGGCTTCTCCCCGCAGGTGCGGCCGCCTGGCTTTCCACATCCAGCTGCCCTACAGTTTCCTCCACTTCCCCTACGTGGAGTCGGCCATCCGCTTCACCCACAGCAAGGACTTCTGCGGCAACTGCTCCTTCTACCCCAATGCCACCCAGGAGGTACGGAGCAGGGATGCTGACTGGAGCCAGGCTTCCTTCTCTCCTCTGGGATTGCACATCAGGAAAAAACCAACCTTATCTTCACGTCAGGGACAGGCTCCGAGTTGGCAGCCGCCCTTGGCCGTGGTTGAGAGGGAAGGTGACGAAAGGTCTGGAATAAGGGCAGTGAAATAGATCAGAGCTTTCAGGCTGAGAAGGAACAGAGTAAAGGGGTCATAGCCCAGGTCTGGAAAAGCTAACCAGGGTTGCTGGCTGTTCTGCTATAAGAAAGGGGCAGGTGGTGGACCCAGAGGTGGCAAGCTCAGAGCAAAGAAAAGGATGTAGCTCTGGGCTCAGCCGGCAATTAGTCACTTCCTAGAAGAAAAATCCATTTAGAAATATCAAATGCAAAGTCCCTTTCCTGTCTCAGGAACTCCCCGTACCACAGACAGCTTGAGCCAAGGGATGTAGGTACAGAGGCTTGTGCTCTATGTGGTCCAGTCTCTCCTGTCCTCCCTGTGCACTAGGTCAAGGCTGGAGAGCCTTTGCTCTAACCCACACAGCTTTGTGTATGATGGATGCTGGTCTGCTTTCATCCCAGCGCACAGGCATTCTCCCAGGCTCACTGCGGGGCTCTGTGTGCATTCACATACTGCACCAGTCCTTGTGTTGTTACTTTCCTCAGGCTAACAGTACCATGGAGGTCCCTGTAACCCCGAGCCCGCTACCCGAACAAGAGGGGAAGGAGTCAGAGACCCCCATCCACCAGCACAACCCCCTCCATCCTCACCACCACCACGAGGTCAGCAGTGAGAGAGCCACAGACCCGAGTGGGGACCACGAACCTGCCACCCGCACTCACCACCACCACAGAGACCACAGCCAGCCCCATCACGAGGGGAAGAAGCAGAAGGAGGGAAATGAGCACTAAGCCAGGCTGGGCAGCCTCGCGGAACCCAGTAGTGTGCAGACCACGTCAACTTGCTTCCCAGAGGCACAGAAGGACTTGCTTTGTGCTGCTGGTCACCAGCAGCGTTGGAATAACAACCCCCTCCAGCATTCCCCACGTGGGTTGTACTCCCACGATGTGACCAGGGATGAAAATCCCCCTCAGACTCCCCGAGGTGCTGCATTTTCAGCCCCAGGGCTCAGTTCTGAGCCTTCCTCTACCACTGCCTGCCTTTCTGTGCTCAATGAAGCCTGCCGTGCAAACCGGGAGGTCCCTGGTCACTGCTGGCTGACACTGCATGGAGCAGCAGAGCAGGGGTGGAGGGGCCAGAACTGGGATGGGAGCAGCACTACCGGCACGGTCTGCCCATCCTGGCACCCCTGGGTGTCCTGGCACCCCTGGGTGTCCTGGCTGGGGAGTGAGGGGAGGGACAGTGTGTGCCCCGCAGGATGTAATCCCAGGGGATGGGGGCACTAGGAACGGTGGGAGGTTGCAGCTCCCCATGGTCTAAACCCTGTACCCCCATAGCTGTCACATCCTGGGGACCCTCCAGGCCTTGCACACGGGTATGTGCAGTGGTGATGGGTGGCCGCAAGATGGTGGCCTTGTCCCCTCTTGGAGACCTAGGGGCTGTATCCAGGGCCCACAGCCCTGGGAGGAAGGGGGTGAGGATCCTGGGGTCTCTCCTGGGGGAGAAGCAAGATGGGAGGGCGATGCGGGTATCCAGAGTACGAATAAAACCTCTGTGAAGCGAACCCTGCTCAGTCTGGCCTCTGGTGGGGCCCCTTCCCCAGAGAGGGTGGGAGGCTCACTCAGCGCCAGGCTGGCCATGGGCTTTTCTCTGGGCACAGGGACTTGGGGCTGGATGTGGACCCCGTGAAGCAGCAGCCCGTGGTGATTTGCATTCCCCTGTGCAGAAGCCTGGAGGTAAAGGGATTGAAGACCGAAGAGACCCCATCTCTTCATACCTTACCTCCTGCCAGGGTGTGAACCCAGGGCTTAGTCCCCCCCCAGGGCAGGTCATTAACCCTACACTGTCAGGAGGAAGTTTGGCATGGCACCTCGATCTCTGGCTTGTAGGTGTGATGTTGGGGTGCCTGCCCTGAGCGTTCCAGGGTCAAAGTTCCTACATGCAGTCCAAAGTCATCTTGGGCATCTTGTCCCCAGTGCCCAGACCAGTCCCCATTGCGTGCATATTGTGGAGCTCCCAGCCCTCAAGCAGTCAGGTGCTGCATCCCTGGCAGGCAGTCATGCCTGCCTGCACCCTGGGCAGCCCCCATGCCTGTCTCAGCCCCTTCACTCCAGCTCCGTCCATCATCCCACACAGCCCCACTCAACGCCTCCCCTAAATTCTCCATCTCCTCTCTGGGCCCTGCAACCTGAGTGGGGAGCAAAGAGATGTTTTTTTCTGCTCAGCGTTATGCAGTGCCATGCGTGGTGCATGTCCTGCTGACGATGCTCTGAGCTGAATTTCTGCACCCCTCTACCCTGTCTCTGTGGGGGGATGCTCTGCCCAGGCTGAAGAGGAGCTGTTTCTCGTGGGGATGAGGACAACGGGATCAGGTGGGTCTTTCTCACCAGCCTGGGGGAGTCAGCTAGGCTCTCCCATGGGGTGCTGGCTGAGACCCTGCTCCCCTTCCTCCATCTCTTTTGCTCCCTCCCCCCTCCTCCTCCTCCCCCTTCCTCTTCTACCTGCTCCCAGCAGCCCACAAGGGCACCTCTGTCTGCTGCTCCTGCCATCAATATTGAGGTTATCTTTTTCTTCTGGCAGCTGCTGTAATTGAAACAAAGCAGGCCGGGCCTCACGGGCTCCACTCCTCTCGCTCATTTTGCCGGTGCTGCTGAGACAACTAATTCATCTTATCGATGCGTGGTTGGCCTCTTTTCCAACAGATCCAGGCAGAGCCGTCTCCCCACCACGGCTGATGGGAGCAGTCTGTGTCCCTGCAGCGTGCTGCTGGGTGCTCCTCTGACCCAGCCTCTAGTCCTCAGCTGGGTGTTGGCCACCAGCAGGAGATGCCAGGGGAGCCAGCAAGGGGGAAGATGTGCAGACTGGAAGGATGCTGATGGCTTTTATCTCTTTCTTTTGCCTTCTGATGCTTCCTCAGCCCTTTTGTTAAATTCCACATCCTTTCCTTGCACAGGTCCTAAAGGTGTCCCTGGCAAGGAGGTGACAGGTGATGAGTGGGGCATACAGGGATTTGCATTCCCTTGCTGATGACCGAATCTGCAATTAGCAGTGGCAGATAGAGGGATCACGTCTGGTGCTGGGTGGTTAGTCCAGCAGCACTGTGCTGCACTGCTACCATTTGGTTATCTCCCAGCAGATGAATTTCCAGCCCTGAAGGCTTGGGTTGGTATTTTGCTTTGGTTAGAGAAATTGAGGCAGGGGAAAGACCTGTGACACTTATTTGGGTGAAGTTCTACATGTCTGAGTAATGGCAAGGGTTTAGGGTGAAGCCGATGCTACTCCATATATTATTGCCCAAAGGCCTGGAGGGTTTGGGGGTGCTGTGCTTGGGGCCCCCGTGGCATCGCTCCCTCCTGAAAGGTGCCAGAGACCTGGAGCTCTGCAAAACCTGTGTTGGTGTCTGCACTCCTGCAGCGTTCAGGGAGATCTTTGCTCCTAGTGGGGTGGAGGAGAGGTGTTTTGGAGGCTCTTCACACTGCTGACGTCTCAGGGGGTGATGCTGTTAGTGGGAGTCAGAGACCCCCAAGGAGTGCTCAGATGTCAGGGGGGCTCGCTCAACAGGGGAGGGTCCAGAGCAAGAAACTGGGGCTGACTTCAGGTCCTGGCAGTGCTGCGCCCTGGTACCCTGGTGTCTGTGGCTGTGCCACCACCCCGGAGGAGGACAGATCCCGGTCCCACATCACATGCAGCCTTGGCCCTGTGTGCTGCTCCTGCCGAGGGCCAGGCAGATCCTCTCGGGAGAGGGGGAACAGCCAGTCCTAATGTCAACAGAGGCCTCTTGTGCAGCAATGCTGTGTCAAGAAGAGGAATGGGTCCCTCCTCCTCCGCCCATTCATCTGGCAGCCAGGGCTGGCATGCCGCCAAGCCAGGCTGCTTTGGAAACATTTCATTGAGGAGGCAGCTGAGCCTAGGAAAACAGAATGAAAATATACAGAGAGATCACTGTTGTTAGGCAAAATAAACGTAGGCGGCTGCATTTCTGTCCCCCAAGTCCAGCCCAGCCGGGCCCCTCTTGCTTCTATGGGGTGAGGGTGAATACTGCTGCCTGGGGATGGCAGCCATGTATCTCCATCTTGGGTTAGGAGCTGGGGAACGAGGGCTGGAGAGATCATCCCCAGCTTTGGCCAACTTGCTGATGTCCCTGGTGAGTAGGTCCAGAGTCATCTCGGTGTAGCATCGGCCAAGGAGATGGGACAGAGCAGAGGAACAGCCACAGAAATGAGCCAGCCCCAGTGACTTGTGTCCCCTGTGTGGCCACCAGTGCTGGAGGCTGGTGAAGAGGGAGCTGAAGAAGTGCATCAGATACTGGCCTTGTTCATTCCCATCTCCCTCCCCAGCATCAATCATGGGTCCTGGCTAGGCATGAGGCCACCAGCGGAACAGAGCCCAGTCTCTGGGTTTTCAAAGCCCAGTTGCTTGGCATGGCCCATGTTTCATCTGCTGGCAGAGGGAGAGCAGAGTCACCCCAAAGCGGTTCCCAGGGACAGAGGGTGGAGGCACCTCTCTGACTTTCGAGCAAAGGTGCATTTAACAGGTTCACCTCTCCCGTTGTTTCCCCCATATCCTCTCTCCTCCCTTCAAAGGCCTCCAAGTCTCTCCCTGGTCATTTGCTGACCTGCAAGAGACCCATCCCACCTCTTTCCCTCCCTCCTGGTGGGTCCAGAGTGGTTTGGGGGAGGCAGAGCTGGAGCCCCAGCCCCATGGGATATCAAGGCTCTCACCTCTGCACAGATGCTCTCAGTGCCAGCTTTGAGTGGCTTCACCTCCTCTCTTTGTCCACCCAGCATGGACTGGCTGTCGCTGTGCAAGAACAAAACAGCTGTTTCTCTGTGCTGCTGGTTTCTAGCCACTACCTTTACTCTCTGTCAATGGACGATGGCATGGAGGCAACAGTTTGCTTCTGTTATTTATGGTTTTGGTCTGAGGGTTGAAAGGAGCCCAGTGTGAGCAGACAAAGCCCAACCAGCACCTCAGGAGAGACACATCTCACCAGCCCAACACACATGGATTTGCAGGATGGCGCAGATGCCCAAGGCTGAGACTGGATCCTGTGCTGGTCCACGCATTCACAGGAGCTTTGCTAAAATTCTGGCTCCCCTCCTCTTGCCCTCCCACCAGGAAAGCAGCTAGCAAGCTACTCCTTTTTCGCTGCCATGTGAGGGGAGATTTGCCGTGTCTCTCTCCACCTGTGTCTCCTCAAGACAAGCTGGGTATGACGCTTGGTTTCCAGCCAAACCACGATGCAGCACCGAGCTGCCACGTCCTGCTCTTGCACTGGGTGGCTTCAAGTGGCGCAGCCTCGTGCCGGGACTGCCGGCACCTCTGCTGATGCTTTGCTGACGTCTGCTGCCGGCTCCTGCGCACAGAGCGATGTGTGAGGACAGGCTGTCGTGGAGGGGAGCTGGGATGGGTGGGCTGTTAAAGGGAAGGTCGGCGCGGTGCAACCTCCCCTCGTCCCACTGTGTCCTGACTGCCCAATGCCGACGGCAGCACTGGGATCTGGCCTCACGAATGGGTCCCCGCCTGGGCTCTCTGCACCGCAGGGAGCTGAGATTTGTGAGCATCCTTCACGAGGAGTATACCTGACCTCCTTGTAAAGGAGCTGAGGGAAGGGGACAAACCCATGGAGCAGCCTCTGAGAGAGAGCACTGCAATGCCTACCAAAAAGACACAAAGCCTGACCTGGGGGTGGGCAGCTCCACAGCTACTGTGAGGGCCATGATAAAACTATAAGACAAAAGCTGAGTTAATGGTATTCGTTGGTTTTTACTATGGAAGAGGTCCCAGGCTG